TGCGGGCGGCCTGGCTGGTGGCTGCATCTCCATCACCCGACTCCATGTCCCCGGCCTTCCTTCCTGTGCGCCGCGTCCTCTCCTCTTCCCAAGGCGCCCTTCACAGACCTGGGGCCTGGGAATCCAGTGTGACCTCATCACGCAGGACTCCACAAAGACCCAGTCCAACAAGGTCACAGCCCACGTCTGGGCTCAGGCCTGGACGCTCAGTTCAACCTGTGACGCGGTAACCGGCGCAAGAAGACAGAGGCCTGGCCGCCGTCCTCAGCACCTGGCGGGTGGCCCGTTCCGGGTTGGAAGTGGCCGTGGGGCTCCGTGGGGAAGAACGAGGCTGTGGGGCTCCGTGGGGGAGAGCGTGGCCGTGGGGCTCCGTGGGGGAGAAGGTGGCCGTGGGGCTCCGTGAGGAAGAAGCGGGCGCAGCGTGAGGACCTCCCAGGCAGACTGGGTTCCAGGGAGCGCCTGGTCTTTACGCCACAGCCACTCCGCCTGGCCTCCTCCTTCCCGCTGGTCTCATGGAAACGCCAGAGCCGCACACCCAGAGCCACCGGACAGGCCTCGGTCAGGCCCGGAGACGGGGACCCCAGGCCTTAACCCCCCGATTCCAGGGCCATTTCTCACTTCCTGGCGGTGCCGGCAGAGCAGCCGCGGTCCAGCCAAACCCGCCACAGGCTGCGGGCGGCAGACCAGGCCCGAGCGGCCAAGAAACCATCACAACCGTTTAGACGCAGAAGATCGCCCCGAATAATATTTACGTAAGAAATACCGCTAACATTGCAAGGCCGGCTTGTTTATTTTTTTCCAAGAGGCACAATCTAGTTTGTGACGAGAAGAAAGACCGTTCTCTCAATCCGCCTCGTCTCCTCCCCACCCCCGCCCGGACAGAAAATCTAAGCCGCTCACCTCTCGTCCGGCTGGCGTGGCTCAGTGGTCGAGCATTGACCTATGAGCCAGGTCAGGGTTCGATTCCCGGTCAGGGCACAGGCCTGGGTTGCAGGCTCGATCCCCAGCGAGGGTTGTGCAGGAGGCGGCTGATCAGTGACTCTCTCTCATCATAGATGTCTCTCTCTCTCTCTCCCCCTCTCCCTTCCTCTCTGAGATCCATACAATTAAAAATCGTAACAACAAAGCGCTCACCTCTCCACGGGGTCCCTGAGCATGACAATGAGCCTGGCGTCCGGCTGGAAGGCGTGGATGAAGTCCTGGGTCAGGAAGGGCGGCTCGCCGTCCGTGCTGTTGTCGTAGAAGAAGGTCCAGGCGTTGTTATCCCACATGGTGGAGGCGCTGGCCTCCCCTGGGAACGGAGACACGGCCGGTGAGGTGAGCTGTGCCGAGTGACGGGGCCCCCAGAGCAGCCTGCGCCAGGGCCACGCCTGGCTGATGCCTTCCCCGCACACAGCCGCGGGGGGCGAGCTGGTCCCCAGGCAGAGAGCGGAGGCTGAGACCCACACACACACACACACACACACACACACACACACCAAGGACCTCGGCGTGGCTCTGTGGCTGAGCGTCGACCTATGAACCAGGAGGTCACGGTTCAATTCCTGGTCGGGGCACACGCCCAGGATGCAGGCTCCATCCCCAGTAGGGGGCGTGCAGGAGGCAGCTGATCCATGATCCTCATCATTGATGTTTCTATCTCTCCCCCTCTCCGTTCCTCTCTGACATCAATAAAACTATATATATATATTTTTAAAAGGACCTCAATCTGGACCTCACGGTGACCCAGGCAGCATGCGCGTGCCTCCCACGCTCGTCTCTCCAGGACGTGCCCAAACCTCCACCGGCAGCCGGCCTCCCGACTCCACGCTGTTTAACGCTGCGCCGTGCACAGCTCTGTGGCACGGAAGGGCCCGCGGAGCATGGATGAGGTGGTTTCCATCAGGGGTGAGGGAACGCATCGGGGATGGAGGATGCTGGGAGCTGATCCTCACTAGGAAACGTGCGCAGTCACATTGACTCCGCCGGGAAACCCCACGGGCGAGTTCTCGGCTCTCAGACAGGCTCCCGGGACCCCCCATCTCGGGCTCAGGTCCAGCTCCCGGGACCCCGTCTCAGGCTCTG